AGGACCTGTAGGGGTTGTAGTGTTTGTAGGACCTGTAGGGATTGTGGTGTTTGTAGTGTTTGTAGGACCTGTAGAGGTTGCAGTGTTTGTGGGACCTGCAGAGGTTGTAGTGTTCGTGGTACCTGCAGAGGCTGTAGTGTTTGAATGACCCGTAGGGAATGTAGTGTCTGTAGGACTCGTAGAGGCTGTAGTGTTTGAAGGACCCGTAGAGGATGTAGTGTCTGTAGGACTCGTAGAGGCTGTAGTGTTTGTGGGACCTGTAAAGGTTGTAGTGTTTGATGTAGTGCTTGTAGAACCTGTAGAGGCTGTAAAATGTGTAGAACCTGCAGAGGTTGTAGTGTTTATAAGACTTGTCGAGGCTTTAGTCTTCATAAGTTCTGCAGAGCCTGTAGTGTTTGTAGAACCTGTAGAGGCTGAAGAGTTTGTAGGACCTGTAGAGGCTGTAGTGTTTGTAGGACCTGCAGAGACTGTAGTTTTTGCAGGACCTGTAGAGGCTGTAGTCTTTGTAGGACCTGCAGAAGCTGTAGCGTTTTTAAGACTTGGAGTCGTTGTAGAAGCTGTGGGACCGGCAACATTTATATCAACGGTTTGACATTAATTGATTGTGATGAAGTATTTTTGTCTACTCTTATCTCGATAAAAAATTTATAACAATGGGTGACAACCAGAACAAACCCTTCACTGAATTTGAATTTTTGATCTGATGAAATCAGAATTAATAGGAAAGATATGCGCTCAACTCCTTTCATTTCAGCCTAAAGGCTAGCATATTGGCTTGCTTTGTGTTGAATACATGGATAGAACAGCGAATATATTTGTTTCATGAGACAAAAATTATTTCATTGCAATACAGGAAAGTATGATCACTGGGGGAGTACTTTTGTTAGAGTGGGATGGATAACACTTTCCCTACGTTCAAAACATTTTTTGTTACAAAAAACTGTTGGTTTTGAATCAGTGTGAAAATAAAACTGAATCCTAAGGTATCTGAATACTTCCTTGAAAGGTCAGCGCTGAGTTTATTTTTGGCCCAGCGGAAATGTTTTAAAATGACCTCACCGAAAATGCACAAGATGAAAAAAGAAAATGTTTCCATTCTCCTTTATAGGGAGAAGAGCTAAATTTGTGTTGAGGAAAAGAAAACTAATAAAATAAGTTCACCTTGAGTAGCTGAGGTATCATGATTCCTCGTGAACACGTAAATAAGGAGAAACAACATGAGGAGGACCGGGGGTGAAGTCGTCATTGCAAACGTCAACTCTGTAAAACTAAATATAATTTATTTATTTATTCATTTTGAGTATTGCTTTTTCTTCTCCCGTTTTCTACCTAGCTCTGGTCACATATGCAAATGATGGCTTTTTTAGTGTCCATTGCTAATTTATAACTCGTAAATGACAAGTGTAAAGAAAATTAATTTTCAATGTGGTCAAGGTCATTCGATTTTACACACACAATTTTATTCTCCCCTTGTCCTATTTTCACTTGTGGCATAACTCCGGCTTGGTTAGTAAATCACCCCACACTTAGATTATGACCCTCACTTTTTTTTCGAGAAACTCGAAGTATTGGCTCTATTCTGGACCTGTACAAACGTTTCGTCCCTTAATTCTGGGACTCTGATGATTTTAAAAGGTCTTTCATGAAAGGTTTCGAAGTTCTTTTGTAATTTCAATCGTTATCGCTAACGATTCCTCTGTGTATACTATCGCCGTTTTTTATTCCAAGTTCAACACTTGCTATTAACAAATATAACCTTCTGTTTAGCAGAAGGTAGGCATGTGGTGAGATTGGTGTTTTTCCATCGCAGTTAAGGCAAAAATCCCATTAAGATTCTGACCAGGTGAAGACATTAGCAACTTGAATTCACCCACTGATAAGCTCTTCGTAATTCGAGACCAAAAGTTCGCAGTAATTAGAAACTCAAAGTTCGGAATATCCGCAGATTGTACAAGATCAAGATAATATAAATAGTTTATAATCTCGTAACAAAATGGGAGGTGTTCTGTGAAAGATGGATTGCACGAATAAATGGATTTATCTAAACGATCGAACCTTGAGAAAAAAAAATATTGTCGTTTGCGAATTCTTCAGGAAAGAATGACATCTTAACGCAAATACTTTCCTTTTGAACACTAGTTGTAAAACCAAGGGATTTGACGATATCATAGGTCAAATCCTCTCTAGAAGTTAAAACCAAATAAAGGATTTTATTATGAGAATGTAAAATAAAATTAGGTGGGAGATTCAAAGCCGGGAAAGTGCCTGTAAGGTTCTGTGAAATTGCCTCAGAGATTGTTGTGCAGCATGTTTTTAAATTTCTTGCCATGCATATCCTTTAACAAGCACCTTTGATTTCAACTGTGTTCTTTAGGATACCCGAAGACTCTTTGTCGTTTTGAACTCAGAACTACGACACAAAAGTACTGCATTTCTTGCAAAGTGTATTAAAGCGTTCTTACCTGCTTTTCGTGTCAGCTGGATTGATCTGGCACCACATTCATCGCCCACCAAATGTTCTAAGCAGCCAGTTTTGGGTGCGTTCGGTGTTAATTGAATACCATTATGATCAAACTGCAGCAGCATCATTTTGTAACCGGAGGATCTCGCCACTAATTAATATCAAGCGTGTTTTCAACAAAAGGCCATATTAACTGTTGGCAGTTGTTCAGTCAAAGAGGGCTAGTAACCAACTGAAACTAGGAACACATTGACAAAGACAACAAAATGTGGCCTTGTTACCGTTGCGAAATAACTACATTTGTTTTCTCTTCATCTTTGAATATAGCTACTTGTGGTGACCAGCTTTTAAATATCAAGACTTTGCAATAATTGCTGAGCCCAACCATCTTTATTTCACCTATTGCTTGTTCCTGCAATAAAAATCAGTTAAAAATCACATATGTGGTCATACTCGAAAAAAAACTCAAGGTTTCAGTACAAGAAATTTCGCTCCTTTTACATTGCAAATTTTCCTAACATGTTTTTTAACTTCAGTGGTATGCATTGTAGAGGTATTTGATCAACTCTAAATATTTGCATATCCAAGATCTTTCCATTTTCCTCTCAAGGTATTCCTGAATTTGGGTTCTGATATATACCAGTTAATTTTGTATTCTAAGAACTGTCATCATTTCCCACTATCAGTTAGTTCGTATTTCAAAATGTTTTTATTTTCTCTCAAACCATAGAGGGGCTCTTGTAAACAGCCATATGCTATTTAATTCTCTACCAAATTATAAAAATCTGTCTCTTGGTCGAGGGTCGAGGTAGGAGTCACATAGCTAATCAAGCACAGAGGTGAGCAATTAACGGCATTGATTTTTTAAAATTAAGAAATCATCAAGATCCAGCTGGTTCACTTTCTGTTGACTGGAAAATGTGTTATGTTGCGCCATTGCCGCTGAATCGATAACCCGTGAGGTAATTTACCTGAATCGAGCATTTCGAAAGTTTTAGTTCATCCAATCAAACCTTCAGATGAAACATCTTCCACACACCCTGACTTGTGGAGTAGTAGAGGGGGAGAATAACTTAGGCTTCAGGAGTAGCGCTCAGAGGTTAGTCTTTCTTAGCCCTTGTTTTTACCGTCTTTACAAAAAATGTCATCACGTCATCATAACGAACACCACAAAGCACAAAGCGCAGCCCGCCCGCCAAACATCAGCTTTTGTTCTCAGAATAGTCGCTCCGCAGGTACGTGCACTAAAATGATATTAAAAAAAAAATTCATTGGATGTATGGGGGATTAGTTCTCTTAGCTTATTTTCTTTTGTATTAATACAATTCGTGCAGCACACTGTATACAGCTCATTAGTATGTTACAGAGATTTGACCCTATCTAAGTGCTGTATGATGCCTGTGGCATGGGAC